GTCACCCAGCATACTCTGCGGTATGTCGATGTGTTGCCTTGGCAAGCGAAGTTACCCGATCTTACTCCTATCGACCACTTTGGGACATGACTAGGATGACAAATCCAGCGATATCCTCAACTAGCACTGACCATTGCGGATTTGACTGTTATATTGCAACAGGCATGCAACACCATCCCATAAAATGACATACGGCATCTCTAGGACACAAAGTAAGCGCGTCTGGATTTTGCTTGCATTCTACATAACGGCAAATACAGCGATCATTAATGTATCACCATATCACATAGTTTTCCTCGCGGATGCTTTAACCTGTGACCTTGAAATATAATCAGATACTAAATACAAAATGCTTTGCCTACATTTCATTCCTTTGAACTCATTTCTGTGTTTCATTCAGGCGCTTGGAATTTCATTTTCCATCATTGCATATATATGTATGTATTATATATATATATATATACAATGACATATTACGTTCGAAATTTTGCTTCCATCTGAACCTGTAGTGCTCATAATGCCGGTGTTGCTTAATGCGTTTAAGCCGAGTTCAATTAATTTCGTCAAATACAATCTTAACACAAACATGATAAATATTAAAATCGTTATGCTGAACAAAATAGCTTCATTAATAATCTCTGTTTATCCCTTTAAATTACGTTATCCCTTTAAATTACTTATCCCTTTAAATTACGTTAAATTTGTGTGTGTAGATAAGAAACAGAGATATGTTGTAGAGTCATTAGGTTATTTTTAAAGCAGGAGTGATGAAAAATGAGCAACGCTCTCACAGGGAATCGAACAATGGAGATCTGGTCCAGCGTGCTGACCGGCGTGCTGACCACCATATTACGAAGGCATGCTAAGAAGGTGGGAGAAGCACCTTACATACTCCTCCTTTTAAAAGCCGAATGAGGATTTAGGGGACCCATTCGCCAAATCCTGGGTGTCTAGAATCATCATCCACCACCCTTTTATTTTGGGCGCCACTGCAGAGTCATTAGGTTATTTTTAAAGCAGGAGTGATTAAAAACGTGCAACGCCTTCACCGGGAATCGAACCACGGACCTCTAGAATACGCGCCCAACGTGCAAACCACTACACTACGAAGGCATGCTAGGAAAGCGGGAGAAATACCTTATAATGTTAATTGCGTAATCTGAAAATGCTCAGCTATCTTTTATTTATATTCCCATTTCAATTTAATTTTATAGTATATAAAGTGAAGGAAAATAGTCTGCTATAACCAATAACCGCAAGAAAGGAATCGAACCTTTGAGAGCTTAAATTCTTCGAATTAGAGGTTAAGGGACTGTAGATAAGGTTTCTTATATCTAACACATTTAAATGCATATTCAATTTATTTATTGATTCCCATACAGTTTAATTTATTTTTTTAACTTTCTTGAGAATTTTTATTTCTAATAAATTAAAGCTTTGAGTATTTACCAGTTACTATAGATTTTTCATTCATATTCATAATTAATATAAAATGCATGTTTATTTCTCGCCTAAGAATTAATACGTTAAGGTTTTGTGCTAGTAAAACCTACTACCTAAGAACTAAGAGCTTGTTATAAAATATAAAAGAGAACATATATGTTTGGAAAAAGGTAAACGTTATAATTAACTGTACCTGTTGTTTTTACGGAAAAAATAAACATTCTTTCAGCAAATACTTTAATAACTTTTCTTAATAAATTTATATTTTTGTAAAAATTTTATCTCCAGAATAAAGGAATTTTCTTTTGATAGATTCTTACACTTCGTTTTAATAACTCTGTAAAACGTACGTTAAAACCGAAAAGTCAGCAAAATATATAATGTGAAATCATATTAGATAATTAATACGAATTAGATTTAATAAATCTTATTTATACATGAAACACTTGCACTTTATATTTTATTCAAACTTTGCATTATTCAAAGCGAAATTCCTTTTAACGCAATAAAATAGACGCTAGGTGGGACTTTCTATTCACACATTTCAATTAATTTCTGAAGTTATATCGTAATTATGAAGCCCTTCATTTATAAATAAATTTTGAAAAGAAATTGAGGGTAATCACTATTTGAATGAAAGGAAATCCTGGTAATTTTCTTACTCAATTTTCTTTCCTTTTTAATTTGTTGATTCCGATAACTTAATCAGCAAGCGTGAAATATTTTCAAAAATAATATTAAATATAGGATTTCAGTTAGTAAATGAACATATTAATTATTAACAATATTAATTTAATGCTAGACAAATTGGATTTTTCCTATAAATAAATTTTGCTGGTTTATTATTTCTTTAGCATGTTAGACGAATATATAACGACAGTTCTTTCAATAATTTCAATTCATGTATTTATTATATACACATATATTTATCGTTTGCTCTTTCTTAAATCTTTTTCGTTTGTTAAGTCTTTATCGTTTGTCTTCTACTTTACTTTAAATATATATATATATATATATATATATATATATATATTTTTAGAAGTTAGAATTTCAAGATAAAAAAGATTATTGGTTTTTAAAGTTGCACATTATGCTACCAGATTAATTATGTATATATATATGTATGTATGTATATATATAAATGCTATTATACATAAAATACACTCTGTCTCTTACTGTAATCTCAGATAAGTGAAATATTGCTGCACGTAGTTTAAATATAACGAACGATTCTTATTAATTACGCGATATGTGCTGCTACTGACAAAAATAATTCAGAAGATTGAGGGAGAAATAAATTAAGGTATTTTAAAGTCAATGCCTTTTGATTTATTAAAGGAAAATATTAAAGAAAAATGCTTTGATTTAGGATTGAACTGGTAAAAAGAATTCATTGAGCTCGAATAAAAAATTGCTTTTGAAAAGGACAGTTTTTAGAGATTGCCTCATGAATAAAGGAAATAAATAAGTGTAGCATTCCATTATCAAGATTGACTTTCACTTAATTTCGAATTAATAATAAAAGTTATTCACTCATAATCTCTGGCATTTTCTGACAACTAATTTTTACACTTAGCTACTGAATTTTCATTACCTATTCAATATTCTATAAATGTCTTATATTACTTTTATATGCGTAGTCATAAAAATGTGTTTATAATAGAACTCCTGAAACCAATCAGCAATAACTAGCATAAATATAAAATGAAAAGTTTAGTGTTATATTTCTCTTGAAAATGAAATTTAATCAACAGTTTAAGAAGTCTTAAGACAGAAAACTTAATATTTTTAAGTTTTCTGTTTTAAACTTTATATTTTTAAGAATAGTGAGCATGAAGTTCCGAAAAATATCAGCTGTTACGTAACAAAGAGTGTAATATATAGTCATCTAATTTAACACAAACAGCCTGAAATACGTAGTTTATCATCTTATGCTTTAAATAATCTTACTAGTCAAAATACATGACTGTTACTTAAAACAGGACTTCGCAGTTTCTTTGAAAGGTTTTATTGGGCATGTGATTTCATGTAGTACATATTTATAGAAATGGAAGTAAAGACGCATTATTTACAAACAAATAGTGAGTTCCTATTTCCAGATTTATATTTATCTAATAATAAAGTTTTTAAATTCACATTTTCTTTAAACTAGTAACAGTTCGTTTTTTTAGCATAACTTTAAAAATAAATTAGTTTTTCCAAGTAAAAGGAACAGTCAAAATTTAACGGCAGTAATTAAGCGTACTTGATTAAACATGGTATTTTTGCTTTTTCTTCTTTAAATCAGGAAAGGATGAAATGAAATCACGTGCGCACGAAGACTTCTCAAAAGAATGAAGAAGTTGAACAAAAATTACTTTCCGCAGCCTTGTATTAGGAAACTGGAGTAATTATTTTCTTGAATCTTCATTTCAAAATCTCACTTAAAAAATTTCATGGTGTAACAGACAGCATCGAAGGAAGCAGCAAAACGAGAAGAAGAAAAATGGCATATCGCATCGGCCAGAGTGAGGAGAGCCAGTGGCCGTTCTACACCTCCGAACCCCAGCAGCAGAAGAAGGAGAAACCGGTTGTTGCAATCTTTTTCGCCTTGTCCTTGGGCGGTTGCGGTTACGACACCTGACGCTGAATAATGCGGAGGCTTGCTTGCACACGTTGTCATTTGGTTTATTAACTGTTAACATGTATTGATAATTACTCGTATGCTCTCATGCATAAGTATACACATGATTTTGAACAGCTACATGTTAGTATGTTCATATCATGTTTACCTGAATGCTCAAAGTCGAGTGTATGCGTAAAGTTTCTGTCAAGCAGTTCATGTTCTCTTAGTGAACATGTTGCCGTGTTATGTGTAGTCAAATTGATAGCAATCGTACTATTTTCCTAGTACATCATACCGCTACAAATCGTTCGATGTTTTTGTTATACAGACTGTATCTGTCTCACTACACCCCGCACGGAAACCAGCACGGTTTGTGTGTTGTGTTCAGTCATTATGTTAAGTTATGATATGTTAACATAGCATTAGTAGAAGATATTAAATTTATCTTTCAAATTATTGAAGTATTATTCATATAATGTAACAGATTGAGGAAAAAAAAATACTCGAAAGCATGAAAAGTATTACAAAGGATAATCATTAGAATGACTTCATAATTATTCAGTATACCATATATGTGAAAACGTTTCGTTTTTATAAATAGCTGATAAAATTAAGTGTTTTCCTTTAGTTTGATTCTTAAAACCATTTGGGTAAAATATGTGCTAGACTCTTGATGGGGTGTGCATATGTAATCTTTCTATTTCTCGTTTGATTTATTATTACTGTTTTTTGTTTATTTAATCAATAATTTGATTATTTGAAGATGTTTTCTTTAGAAAGTAATACTGACAACGCTTTATTTTTTATCTATCTAAGTATTTATTAGTTTTCATAAATTAAGTTACCAATACATTAATACATTTTTAATTTTATTTAATTAATTATTATAAATTTCCGTTTATCTTTTATAATTTACATTACATGCTTACTAAGAATTTTCCCTTTGTTTCAGGTAGGACCAGCTCCAAACAATCAACCAATCAGAGCTCAAGCAAAAGTTAGCGTAATAGGTAAATCTTTTTCTTATAAAACCAATTTAATGTATTTTACATCAACAAGATAACAAAGTATCAAAACTTATTACTTTTATTAACAAATATGTCTTTAACTAGTACTAGTGATAAAAATTCCATGTATATTAATAACAGTAAAAATTTTTTTAAAAACTTTTAAGAATATTTACAAAAATCACTAACAGCAACATTGTGTTAATATTGCCTGCAAGTTATTACAGTGACAGAAAAGTGTTGATCATTAAAGAAACTGTAATTATAATTAAGATTATATTATCAAAAGTAATACCGTTAACTGGAAAACGGATAATATTTAAATGAGCATAATGCATTACAATGACAGAAGCAGTAATATTTGCAGCACTTGAAATTATAATAGTTAATTTCATAAAATAACTATTTTATTATCATCGGTATTATTACAAGGACAGTAGTGAAACTACTATGATGCAGTACATATTATCTCTGCACGAAGGAAATAAAACTAATTTTTGAAAGACATTCAAGATTTCTTCTTGCAGCGAAGCGAATTACTAACCCATGTTAGTGGACTCAGAAGTGGATAACTTTTTCATTTTGGCGAATTAGTACTATTATCTAACAATGAAGAGGTACAGCACCGGGTATGATTAAAATTATTTATATTCAGGGAATCCAACATATGATGAAAATGTAACAAAAAGATGAAAAGAAGAAAACAGAAACAATTACGATATTAACTAATTAATAATTTCTTTGCAGTAACTCAATTCAAAGACAGCTAATCTTAAATATGTAGATAAGCTGTAATATAAAGTTCGAATACAATGAAATTTTAGCTTTGTGAAGAGTTTACTCTATTTCATGAATGAATATTTGTACGACTTTCGGAAGAAAAAATATAGCATAACAAAAACTTACCAAACGAAAACTTGTGAACTTTATTTAAATTTTAATATTAATTTAATTAAATCCATTTTAAGCAGTGCACTCTATGAAGTTCATTTAAAACAACCGAGGAGATCATTTGTTATGACACTTGTGTTTTAATTAGAATTTTACTGGTTCAAACAATGCAGCCTATAGAGTTCATCTAAAAGAATCTGAAGAGTTCATGACATTTGTGTTTTGGTCATAATTTTACTGGTCCATTATTATATATTTCCTCTATCCTGCGTATTAATCAAGTGTACTTGTTCCATATATATAACGCAGAAATTCGAGAATTCCATACAGTTTTAATATTTATTGAATGAAAGTTTAACAACCTTAAAATAAATACCGTAAAATAAGTAATCTATTAATATCAATTAAAATACCTAACTATTAACGTATGATACATAACCTCGACCTTTGGAGAATTAATAGTAATAACTAGAACTATTAAACACCCAATACTAAAAAAAGGAGGATAATTTGGTGTTTCATAGAAACTATTATAAGGCAGCAACAAGTTCAATATTTATTTTCAATTTCTAGAAGAAGAGCAAAGAACTAAAGAAAGTTTCAAATAAAATAATTTAACATTTTTCCAAAAGAAACAATTTCTAATTTTAGAAAGAAATTTAGTATAAATGGACAACTTTTGCAATCTTTTCAGCTTCAAAAGAACAAATGTTTCCTTTTTCACCCTCTACACACTATCAATTTCAAATATGTAACTTTATACCCAAAAACATGGGATGGAAATAATTTTTTCTGTACTCAAAGCAAGTGTAATTCTTTACTTCAAGTATTTCGCTAGCTAGTGTAGAATTGGGTTAGATAATATTTACACTACTACAAATTTGTTTCTGCAAAGAATCTTGTTACATATGCAACTCATCAAATATCCTCAAAAAAGATCAGTAGTAATTGTATCGTGATATCAAATTATGTATCTAAATACTGAAACGGTGAATTGCAGTAACAGTATCAGGAAACTAGAAAATAGTATTTATCTTTTCAGAAGTACAGAAGAGTTTTCATTATTGTTTATAGATAGCTTACCAAGATTAGGAATAGCGAATGAATAAGTCAAAAACATAATTTCAGCATACAGTCTAAACGTGCTTTCAATACACTCAGGCACTGAAGTGGACTTTCTTTCCACCGACAGCGAGGCAGCCAATCCACTGGGGCAGTTAGCACATCGGCCAGATGGTGTCCGCCTAAAACATCGCGGACGAAACTTCGCGGAAAAACAACGCAAGGCGAAAACGTATTGGTACAGTGTGTGTATTTAATTATGGCAAAGCACACGAGGGCTATCTGCCTAAGGGGGAGGGATGCCTTCGTGGAGGACTTTCTAAGGGAAACTGGCTCGTATACACGTTGCACATGGGGAAAACCACGAAAACGCCCATGCAGCCAGCCCGTTCGCGGGATTCGAACCTCGGACCGAACTACCAGTGTTCAGCGACTTACCGCTCGGGCGCTAGTGGGCAACGTATTGGTACAAAACATCGTGGAAGAAAAGAAAGCAAAGAGAAAACGTGGTACAAAATATCGTCGTTGAAAATAAAGCGGTTCAAAAACTTCGTAGCTTGAAAACATCGTCGTCGAAAATATCGTGGTAAAAAATAAAGTACCTACAAATCATCCCGTGACTATAACATCACACACATGCGATTTCATGTTCTAAAAGTTGTAAATGCATGTTCACATAATGATTTGGGTGCGCAAGAAGGAAAGATGGATTCTTTTAATTCTATGTTTCAGATTTTCGACGGAACTAATAAATTTTTGCTGAACAAATAAGAAGGAAACTTAAGCATTTAAAAATTAAATGTGAGTAGAAAATTAATGCAACTTATAGAATTTAATATAATTTTAAATGTATATAATTAATTAACAAAAACATTAATAAATTCACCTTTTCTTTATAAATGTTTACTGATAATTTTTTATGAAGAATACAGTCTAAAAATGTTTAGGAAAAGAAAGTTAAATAACGGCATGAGTTTACCTTTCTAAAAATTGCTTAGTTAATTATCAAATTCTTTTCTTTCACATTTGTTAATCTGGCTTTGTTTTAGTAAAAATTATATTTTGTTTTGCTCCTGTTTATTCTTAAAGTGTCATTAACATTTTCATATATAGCGTGCAATCAATTTTTCGGATGCCGGTTTGTTGACGAAAGTCAGTTACATAATACGTTAGTATGGGATTTCAAAAACGCATGTGTACGATATTATCGTCAAGCGATGATTTGTAGGTACTTTATTTTTTTACAACGATATTTTCGACGACGATGTTTTAAACTGCGAAGTTTTTGAACTGCTTTATTTTCGACCACGATATTTTGTACCACAATATTTTGAAACTGCGATGTTATTTCTTGGCTGTGTTTTCTGCCACGATGTTTTGTTCCGTGACGTTTTCGCCTTGCTTTGTTGTATCCGCGATGTTTTCGGCTGTAACCCGTCCAGATAGCCTCGTTGACGGAATTAACTTCGTCCCCATAACACACTTTGGACTCAAGACTATTGTGCTCAAGACGACTGCTGGGGATGGTGCAAACAAATGCTGCACGAGACGATAGTGCAGTGATGAAAGAAGAGTGCAAGCAATACTAAAAATACTAAAATGTAAAATACTAAAATTGCAAAATAATACATAAATAAAATAAGGCAAAACAGTGAAAATAATACATAAAATAAGGCATTGAAGTGGACTAAGAAAACGTCGTAAGTCTCCTTGTAAAATAAGGGGGCGTTAAAGGAAGGATAATGTATTTTAGCAGAAATAACAATAATATCGCAAATAATCTCTCTATATTTTACTCGGATATATTTGGATTCCACTGATGTTTCTGCTTTATTTTGAATTCTAAATACAGCTAATTATCTTTTGAATGCATTTATATGTAAATTGATTGAACATCGAAATAGTTACAATATCGGTTTATGCAGAAATTTTAAAGGTTTCAGTTCGTCTTTCCTGATTAAACTGGCACAGAAATTGGTTTATCAGTTTCCCTTGATCATCGTAACTAAGTTTTAAGTTTTCTTTGGCTTACCTTTATAGAGAAAAATTTATATTCCCTAAAGTACAAAAAGGTAATTTGTTTTGCTATCAAGAACGAAATCAATATGAAATTAGAAACTGTGATGTCTTTAGACGTGATTTTTATCATTGATCAGACATTTAAAGCATATATTTCCGTATTTCAGTTCAGAAAATTAAGCATTCCTTATTTTTGGTGATAAAAAGAAGGAGCTTGTTATGTATTTAAACATGTTTAATCATATAAAATAGTATTTAAATTATCTTTTGTAAGCACATTTTCTAAATTTTTTATTTACGTTTTACTTCTTTTGTTATTTATTTAGGACAAAAGATATATGCATTTTAAAATGACTTTTTCACTTCTCAACTTTATGTTGAAATGGCCTTGCTTGTTTGGAAAATATTATTTCAAATATATTTAAACATAGCCTTATATGTATTGAAGATAACTACTAGAGTTTTAAGATTTGGATAAGAGCTTACTTCTGCTTTTTTTCAATCATTTTATGTTATAAATAAACAGAAACGAATTATTAATTATCCAATATAAGAAATTTTATTCCTAACCTTCTAGGTGAATTGATTCGTTGATATTTCAAATTATCAATTTCTGTAAGATTTACAAATTTTAGCACTACGGAAAAGGAATCATCCGACCTAAAAGGAGGAATTTATCCATAGAGTAATTTAATTAATTTCACAACATGTATCGTCCTCCCTCAAACATACCTTTACTCAATTCTTTATTATAGAAGTATTATAAAATCTGAGAGTACAGTAGAAAATCAAATAGTATCTATGAGGCTTAACAATTATTCATAGATATGTACAGAATTAAATCACATACTAGACGCCTCTTTGCAGTTTGCTGAAACTGTTTCAGATTGTGAAATTCGGTGCGGGGGGATTAATAATTAACTTTACCATATCCACAAGACATCGTCAATTATTTGTAAATATGTACAGAATTAAATTACATATTTGACGTCTCTTTGCAGCTTGCTGAATATATTTCAGACTGCGAAGTCCAGAGCAGAAGATCAATAATAAACTTTGCCATATCCACAATGCTTAATAGAAGTGATGCCTGTTAAAACTAATAGCTCTTCTGAAGTGTGTATTATAACCAAGTAATTTAAAACAGTTTGCGATTATAGGTATATTCTAAATCTGTTATTTGGCTACTTGTTAAATCAACTAATCTGGAAAGCATACATGCTGAAATTGTCGCGCGTTCTTCATATATTGAGTGCTTTTTGTTGGTTTTCATTTTGCCTTCACATCTCTCTATGTTACCTGCATCTTCTTAAACACGTTAAGTTTTCATTTTACTATGAAGACATGAATTGGAAAGGAGGAAATAAAGATACCAAAATGTATAAAGAATTGCTTCAGCTAAAAAAAAAGGCATCACATTACAAACAATTTTGAAGAAGAAAGATTATTATAATGTATCTCATCTCCGGTAGCTTTGTCCCTTGTGCAAGTTAAAAGAAGGCTGAGATGCGTATTATATTAGTTGTATAATTTTCTGATTTTGTAAGTAAGTGGAAAAAATCCTAACTTTTAAAATACTGTATTTCATTCCCTACTCGCAATTGGAAGCATTCTCCACAATTCTGGCTAGTTGCCTCGATTAAATAATGAATAAATCACAAGCTGCTATTTTTATTTTCACCTGTCGATAAATATTTCGAATAATTACCACACCTTTAACGGTAATTTTTTCTCTTCTTATAACTATGTTCTTCAAAACCTTATTGTTTTATTCTGAGAGTATCATTCCATGCATAATTTATGTTTCAATGGAGCAAAAGTATTTTTATGCCTTTTTCCTTTCTGATCCTTTCTCTTTTTTATCTCTTATAGTGCCTCCTAGAGCTTTGGAAATACGTGGGCACAAGAATGGAAGTACTGTTGAAATGAGGGAAGGGCAGAAGTTGTCTCTACAGTGTATTGCCAAAAACAGCAAACCGGCCACGAAGCTCAAATGGATGAGAAATGGCGTAGAAATTACCAAGGGTAAGCTCTAAATCAGATTTCAAAATTGCTTTACTTCGGTGCATTATTTATGGCCCTATTGGGCGATTAAAGGCCTCATACCCCTATGTTAGATATATTTAGACTTTATACTTGATTTATAGCATAATATTTAAATTTTATGGTAAATGCTGTCAACTTCAACATTTTTGATTCAAAGCTGAGGCCTGAATTTTATATTTTGTATTTTTATCATGCCACATTTTAAAAGGTTATTAAAGATATAACATTACCCTTACTTATTACAATCGCCAAAAAAAGCTAAATCTATCTTCAATTTGCTGGAATGAAATTCTCCCTCTAAATATTATTCATATTTAGAAAATTTAAACATTTAACAGTTTTTCCATATTAGCGAATCATCTATAAATTACATTTTTAAATTTTACGCTCATCTTTATTTGTTTGTTTAGTTGATTATGGTGGTGGTGTGTGGTGTATTTAATTATGGCAAAGCACACTAGGGCTATCTGCCTCAGGGGAGGGATGCCTTCGTGGAGGACTTCCTAAGGGGAACTGACTCGTATACACGTTACACATGGGGAAAACCACGAAAACGCCCATGCAGCCAGCCCGTTCGCGGGATTCGAACCTCGGACCGAACTACCAGTGTTCAGCGGCTTTACCACTCAGCCGCTGGTGGGCCCTTAGTTGATTATGGAAAAATGCCCGAGGGCTATTGTCTAATATGAAGGATGTTTTTATTGAGAAATTTCTAAGGGAAACTTGTCGTGTTCGTGGAGAAAACTACAAAAACACCAACTTATGTATGCTTACGAAACACCAATGTATGCTTACGAATATGAACATATTTTCTTAACAAAGAAAACGTTTCAGTGTAAAACATTAAATGTTCTTGAAAAAATTTTCTATTATATTATATTAGTCTAGAAACACACAAGGACAGAGGATATAATAGCAGTTAGGGAAAGAATCGTCTTCTAAATCCCTATAGATAAGTGATTAATGAAAGGTGAAAACAAATGACGATATTCACTTAAGCAGTACTGTTTTGTGGCTTTTTAAAATTTAAAAGAAATTCATTTTCAGAGTCCTCGAGGTCCTGATCATCCTAACGAAAAAGTAATATTTAAGTAGTTCATGAGCAAAAGAAAAATGCATGTTTTGCTATTGCAAACACACATTAACTTTATAGACAATATGAAAATTTTTATTTTTGAAAAATAGAGAGAAATTGCTTCATATTACAGTGATACTCTTGCGATACGGACAGTACACATTTGTGGGGAATTGTTCACATTTTATCACTTCATTTAATACAGTCAAAATGCATACCAAAGATGGTGTTTTCCAATGAAAAAGAAATCAAAATGGTTTTTCATCTTACTCGAACTATATATTTATGTAAATGATTCAAAATTTTAATTTTCGTACACTAAATAACTGCAATTTTTGAAAGAAATTTGGATGCTACTTATAAATTCTAAAATGATATAAGTAAATACGTACAAAAGATTAGCAAGCATTACTAAATTAAATAATTATAGGTATCGAAAGCAGTAATACTTGAAAACTGGTATCCATCACAGATATCGAGTACGGTAACACTTAAAATCAGAAAAAATCAAAAATCAAAAGTGGTAATAAAAATCACAGACTTTTTCACTGAGCTGAGAATGCCATGTGCTGCGACGTTTGCAAAATACTCTTCAAATCTCACCAATTTCCTGCTGCAGAATACTTGAAGCTGATATGAGGATTTATAGAATATTTGCTGGCACCTGCTTTTATTCACTGAAACTTTTAAAATAATAATTTTAAAAACTGTTGAAGTCGTCATACCGATATTTCTCCAAATCCTGCCAATCTAGCACTAAAGCTTTTAGTAAATTTATAGTATAAATAGTCTCAATATAGAATACCTTTATAGTCTTAACGATATATTAAGGTCTGCAAAAGTTAATTACAGACTCTAAGTATTAGGTATGGAAAATTTAATGAATTACAATGTAGTGTGAAAAATTATTCAATGCTTAATTAACAGCACTGAATAATTCTTAACAATATTCGCACGTAATATGTATAATAATTTGTGATTTCCTTAACAGTTTATTAATCAATAGAGATTTGTGCTCTATTCCATAATTATGACGATCATTTCGTCCCATTTTATAAAGAATTTGATATCTTAAGAAGGAACTGTCGTGATATAATCAGTGTTTTTCCTCAAGTTGGAATATAATGAATAATTAAATATTTATTTCACCAGTTTAAAAAACAACTTTTACTGTAATCGCTTGTTTAATTTGTCAAGCATGCAGAAGAACTTAAATACTTTTGCTAAATCTAAAAATTATTTCCTCTAAATACCTTCTCTCCCGGTCAGATTAATCTTTAATTTACGCCATTTTAACATCATGCCCCTTCTTTCCCCACTGATGTAAAGGGAAAAAACTCACATTCCGCCTTTTGTATTACTTTGATATTGTGTACAATAAAATATAATTAAACATTTTGCAAGAAATCGCATAAAGATTCAACTAAAGCAACAAAAACCTAATTTCCGAGTAGGCACTTAATATAAAAAGAGAAAACTTAAAAATATCTTAATCAGTTTTTCAGCATATTTACTCACACTCTATACATTTATACTTCCGAGCTCATCTCTTTGGAATGAAAAAACAAAGGAATTTCATTTCTGCAAGTTACACCAGGATGTAATAAGTGTTCTGTCTTTAAATGATTAAATTTATTTACTTTCAAGTTTTAATGCTTCCTGTTCCTTTTTTTTTTTTACATTTTCTTTATAAAGGTGTACATTTTCTATTATTTTACAATTTCCTCGAAATACTTTCTCTTTTTTAATGCTATCTCAATTCTAGTAGTTTTTATTTTTGTCTTTAACACGTTCTTTAGCAGATAGTTCTACTTTACTAATTTGTAAACGTATAAAAAGTTTTTTATTATTATTTTGGAAAAATAAATTGTATGTGATTCAAATGTTAAAAAAGACTGCTGCAGTTTTGTAAAATAAAATATTTACTGATGAATTATATTCATTATTATTATTATGGCGACACACAAAAGTATCTACTAAGAGAAGGAATGTCTCCGTGGACCTCCCTTTAGAGGAAAGTGGTTCTTATCAACGTTACAGATTAAGAAAACCACAAACTTTTCATGAAGCAATCCTGTTCTCCAACTTAGGTCAAACTACCACTGTTCAACGACTTTAATATTTAGTTGCTGGAGATGCAGATTTCTGTTCTTCAAAAACACAATTTACTCTCCCGCTTTTCAATCTCCACTGTTACCGCAATAATAGCAAACATATAAGCATATAGTAAGCTTTTAGGTGCCCTTTAATTCATGAAAGTGAAATGAAAACCGAAGAAACTGTTCACATCTATGTACGATCAGTTTCATTTGGAGAACATTTTAGTTAAAATTATTACATTTTATAAAGATTAAGTGATAATAAGACAGTAGAATATCGGTTCTGAGTTTAACCTGGATTCTTTATGTAATGTAAAAAATGAATATGTTAGACTGAATCATCCTAAGCATAATGCAATTTTACAATTAAAACTTCAAAATAACTCGTTTAATATAATATAAATGTGAAATTATTTATTATAATTAATTAATTTTTAACGACTAAAATAAGTGATTCTTTAACCTATTGCCTGGGTAAATAATATTATATATGGCGTTAGAAATTCATTTTAATAATGCACATAGTAAAAACGTCATTTATTATGTATTATGAATTATATTAGTTATGTTATAAAATACACCTTTTTCTTCTTACATATAAATCACACTCGAAAGCAAAGAAAACGACACACAAAGAAAATGTTATCTTATTGTACTGGAATTTCTCATGCGAATATTTTTAAATTTTTCATTGGGTGAATCAGCTGGGGTTACAGAGCTTCCGGATAAATCATAAAACAGAAGAAATTCTAGAGCATAACATCCATTTATATTTGATTTCATCTATTCACTTCAATTGCATAAATGCCTCTGAGGTGCGAGCACAGTTGGAAGAAAATGTGAAATCTGCCTGAAGGAAGCAGACATACCAAAGCGAAGGATCGCTCGATATTTGGGTCCGAGCAATGAGTTGTATTTTAGACAAAATGTTGGGTACTCTGAATAATCACGTACTAAATTGAGAGTATGCAAGCTTTAATCTTACTTCAAATAAGTAATTTCATAAACAAGTACAGAAGCAAGCACTTTTATCCAGATTCGATATGATACACAATTAATTAAGAGGTCTTGAAGTGTAGTGTCATTTAACAGACGAATAAACACACAATCACAGCTGCATGAGTATTAATATTTATATTATTCCCTAAGTACCGCATTAATATGCCAAGTTGCCAATAAACATACAGTAATAATTTTATTATAATCTCCAAACTCCTTAGTAAATATTTGCATAGTAATACTTAGTTTTAAATATTCATCTCTATATACAAGGAAGAAGAGAAGAGCATTTAAACGACATACTTCGAGATTCTGGAATATCTAAAACAAAACTTACGCAATACTGAAGTATACCACACTGAGAGAGCTAGACTGCAAATGAATTGAAGTAATTTTTCTTAACACTGTCAGTCCTCTCCATCACGCTAAATAACAGTCCGGAATTGCGTCTGTACATCACATTGTAAACCATAACATTAACCACGATCGTCACATATTTTATTACATATAGCCTTCAAGATCCCGAAGACTGTCTGGAAACAATCTCCTTTCGTTGTTAGTAATCAGGATCTCTTTATCACTGTAGTACAGGCACTTTTATCTCTCAGTCATTTCTGAGATCTCTGTATAACTGGAACACTTCTTCTATGTAGGACAGAAAATCAGTTATCAGCTTATCTGTTATTTCTTAAATGTCCGTAAAACTGAAACATTTCATCCATGAAAGACACGAGTCAACAAGTCCAATTCAAGTTATATCCAATAAATTTTCTTTCATTCCTCGCATTCTTGCGAATCATCATTAC